AAATTCTAGTCGTGTTTTCTGTATTCAGTTTCAAACAAGATCATTGATCATCACAAACAATATAAGATGCAAGAACCACATACCAGTTCTCTGTACCGTATACACATCACAGCCAAAAATTGATGATATACAGGTCAGAATACTTTTATTTGCTGATGCTCCACCAGTGGCTATGATTCTTTTTGGAGGAGATGGCATCCCAAATCTTTCTGCATGAGCTCGCATTGAGAGCAATTGGCCCTCAATCAATGCCCGGACCTGTATATGGATTTGTTTGATTTTCTGAGAAAAGAAAGGTTGGAGAACCTAGCTGGCCCATGAAAACAGATTATTGAAAATTACTAACCTCAGAAGGAGGCTCAAATTCCTTAACTTCAACTTCTTTCAAGCCATCCAGAGTTTCTCCAGTGAAATTTTCAAGAATGTAGCGGTGGAAACCAACTGAATTTACAAATTAGAGTCAGTTTATTACTTGATGCATTTTTATATGATATCAATGTAATGTTACATAAACAAGGGAGCAAATACAACTATAGATTATCAATTAAAACTACTTTTGCAATACAAAACAAGCACCCCAAGCCTCCATTCGATGGGTGTCGCTATACAGGCTTTTATGAGTCATAGAATTACTTGGGTCTAAATTTAATGTGACAGGAAAAACATGCCCTTTTTTAATTTCCAATAACATTGAGAAGAGGAAACACAGAGAGATAAGACTAAAACCATTGATAAATTTCAAATCTTTTGCATGATTTTAGTAGGAGAAAAGCCATAAATGACAAACTCGCCAATGTATAAGCAAATATAATGAAGAAAAAAGAAAAAAACTGACCTGGTAGAGGAGGAAGAATTTCATGCTCTGTGTAGTAGAAACCCATCTTCCCACCTATTGTAGGAACGAGATTTAGTAAACAGAGAACAGATGCAGCAATCATCCAGGAAAAGTAATTGGAAGAATGCATTTACAAACCATTTAGAGGCAGTGTTTGATCCAGAAACTTATCAAAAACTTCCCAAGATTTCTCCGCGCAGCGGTTACGCACATCTTAAATTAAATTTTTGATCAGATTGGGGACTACTGTGTGGCTTTCATTAGAATGCATTAAAAATAGAGATCGGTTTTACCTTCACGAGTCAGAGAAGCATTTTTATAAACCAACATTACCATATAGCCTTTTGTGTCAACAGGATTAGGAAAAACATGACCCTCTAATCTAGGTTGGGGATCATCAGTGATCCCAAAGACCTGCAAAAACCAGGATCAGATTTGAAGTAGAACATAGTGACCAGAGTCCCAAATAACTAAAATAAAGCCTCAACAGTAGGGCCACACTATATCTCATATAACAGGTGTGAATTAATTGCTGAGGGTCTACAAGAAAGAAAAATCAAATTCCAAGGCATTTGAAAGGCTAGATATATTCTTACAGTGTCACTGGTGCCAAGACTAATTGCCAGATCTCCAGGAGTGCTTAGTGTCAAACCTGCAAGTTTCAGGAACTTCTTGTTGACAAAAGATTAAGACAAACAGATAAACATGCACTGAAGAGGAGGATTGGCAAGAGAAACAGAAGATATTGGACAAATTTCACTTTAAAATTTTGTAGAATGTAGCTGCGAAATAAGTCAAATGCCAGATAGGTTGAAAATAGATTTTAGAAAAGAAATATGAAAAGCTCAAAGTATAAGGCATGCAGGGATATAAGTCTCTTTTGTAGCCATTGCTTCACATATGCATGCCTTTTATATCTACCACTAGTAACAAACCTAATCCAAACAGACACCACTTACAATATTTGAAATGGACTGCCCATAAATCTTTATCCTTTGTTTTCTACCATCACTAATGCAGAGTCAATAGCAGATGCTCTTTACCTCATTATTCTGTCTTAAGATTCTAAATTTTCAGAGGCTATGTGAAACGGCGACAGATATAGATGTGCAGGTCTATCTGTACATGTGTTTGGTTTCTGTCTCTCGTTTTTAATCATCATGGAGAGTCCTGTAGGCATATGCAAACCTAGTTTCTTCTCCCTCTTATTTTTTTTTTTTTAATGACCAGTATTTGACTCCCAATTTTGTGCTCCATACCCTATTTCATTTATGAGTAGTACTACTCTTACAAAATTTGTATACAAAGTTAATTATACAAAGTGATGCAGCATTACATATTAATTGACACATCATATACATGCATTTAATGAGTTGACTTTACATCTTTACTTTCCCAATCATGATGTGATACATCACTTTGTATATATACTTTGTAATAGTAGTATTATTCTACATTTATACACAAGTGTCAATTATGACAAATGCAATATCTGAATACGCTCTAAAAAAAACATAGCATAAAGCCATGCTAGCGGTAAAAAGCAACGATGTCATGTATCAGCAACAGCAACTTCAACAAAAAATCCACTTAGTGGAACTGCACAAACCATTAGAACACATGGTACAGAAATTGATGATGAACTGGGTAATTAAAATGACATACAAGATATCAAAAGGAGTGTACTCAATAAAATAGGAGCGGGTTAAATAAAATAGCAGAACTTAGAGATAATGAGAATCCTGAACCTGCTAAACTGTTAGGGTTGTCTCCCGACCACTGAACAACCAAGCAATTCTTATTGAAATGATACCTGGAAGAAGTAAATGAAGTTAGATCCATAAAGTAAGTACTTGAACAGCAAGGTACCACAAATATATGCGGATTAAATCAATTACTTATAAACTGAAATTTGGTTGGATGACTAGTATAGTGGCACACAGTAATTTTTATATTCTTAGTTCACCTAGTTTTTGGGCACAAAAAATATCCATAGCCATGTTACTCACAAATTTGCACGGTGCAGAGATGCACAAATGGGCTTGTTCTTGCCATTTTAATAGCGAAGCATATCCATAGTAGATGCCGACATGTTGCACTTTTGTATCACACTGGAAATTTTTAAGACAACCTTTATGATCAGGAGTTCATTGGCTTTATTTTTGGGTCTTAACATACTTCTTGTCCACTTAAGTTGACAACAAGATTTCCAAACACATCCATTTCTCTATTTCAGTAATCCCTCATCCATATTCATATTCTCAAGCCAATAAACATAAAAACAAGAGGATGAGAAAGCTTAGCCAATGAGAGGAAACATATTGGAAATCTCAAAAGAATATCACAACAAAAGTGAACTAACAAACACTCTGCTACTAACCTCTCCACAAAGTAGGGTGCAATATGACCTGCAACAGCATGGGCTGGCGCTATCTTTCCAAGTTTTTTCTCCAAATCTGGAGCTGTAGCCTGTTAACAGTAAAATTCAACAAACTTGAGCTACAATGAAGCAAGAAATGTACCAGAGAACTATGAAACAATAGTCACAGCAAACCTCTAAAGCTATTTTAGACCATGCTCTTTGCTTGATATCCATCAAGTTCATCCCTGCACCATCAGTTTCGTCAATACAAGCGTAAGCCCCAATCAGGAGGGATGCCATAAAAGAGCTAACAAGGGAAATCCTCTCAGTATTCTCATAAACATCTTTCTGCGTTTCAAATATCTTCTTAATCTGTGGTCCAGTGTATCTTTCATGAGCACGTGACCCTGTAAGTTTGGACAACTCCAGTGCACCACCAACAGCCTTCTCTATCTCCCTACATTGAAGAGTGGTGCTGCTATCCATCCATATAGGAGATTCATTAATCGAAAAAGCACTGCCAAACTGATCAACCAATGGCTTCTTTGGATCCAGAGAAAATAAAACTGCAGCACTACCATTCTTCCAATAAACACTACCATGCTGCTGTCCACTACCAGAAACAGCAGCAATTTTCGAGAAATCTAATTTTGATTTCAAGAATTTTTGAAGAATGAGATCCAAAGCTTCCACCCACATTAAGGTGGGTGAAACAATTCTTCCATTAACTGAAGGATCTCTATAAACTCCATCTTTGGTCTTGTAGTGGGGCAAATCAGAGTCAAAATGAACTAGCTCTGAAGTGACAATGTTGAGATTGGAATCCAAGACAGTTGCCTTCAAGGACCTTAAAAACAAACAAACAAACAACCTCAGTCAATCAAAATTACATACAATATTGATTCTATACATAATTCTCAGGAGAAATCAATAATCATAATAAAACCAAATCGGAGAAACATCAAAAGACTGACAAATAAAATGTTTTGTCACTTACCAGACAGATTATTTAATGAGTCTCATAGAATTCAAATAACAAATAAACTTATTCCAAAGAAAAATGAATAATCGAATTATAACCCAATAGAAGAAAGATCAATATTAACGTAAAGAAGCGAGCACAAAAGGCTGATCAGAACAGTTTCATTCCATTATATTACACGAAAATTAAAAATGCTAATATTATGAACTAAATTTGGCAAAATCACAGGAAAAAAAAAATATTAAATAGAGCTAACAGTGCCCAAAAGATAAAGACTTACTGAGTAGAGCTGTCAAATCCGAGGAAAAAAGAATCCTGTGGGAGAGAAAAATCTTCCATTGTTGAGTTAACAGAAGAGACTTTGGGCTTGCGCAGTGTTTCAGTTTATCCCTATTTATATTGTAGTAATAGTAACCGTTTGACTAAAAAAAATAAAATCTGTCTCGATATTTAAGGAAATTTTAGAAATCATGTCATATTTCCTCCCTCCTTTGATTGTGTTAATTTGAGTGTTCGATTTCATAATCAAATCTTAGGGATTTTATGTGATTTTTTTGTTTTTTTTCTATTTTAAAGAATCTAATAACTCTTTTGATAGAGTACCAGCAGATCTTGGATAAGAACAAACAATTGGATAAATATTTAAATCTCTTTCATAGTTGTAATGTTGTATTCCTTTAACCGGCTACTGGATATTTTATATTTTAAATTCCAGTATCTTATCATGAAAATGAAAACACCTACATATCAAGTATTATATTTATATTATTTGTTTCAGAATAACGTTACCCCAACAACCTATTCTTACAAATAAAGAACTTTATTCTGATGCTCTGTTCATCTTATGCAATGCAGTGAAGAACTGAAGATTGAGGGTGATTATTATAAACAATTAACTAAAACAAAAATATTACACACCAAAACCACATTTGTAATTCACAGTGCACACATCTCTTCTATCACTTTGAATGGCCATGTTCCCAGGAAAATGGTTAAAACCATAATCACGTAAAATTATAAATCGATGACCATATAAACTACATGGCTAATTTCATTTAAACCTCCCTGCTGCCAAGGTATACAAACAGGAGGTTCAGTTCAAACCCCTAACTTTGAAGCTTGCGGTGTTACTAAATCACAAATTATGCTGAATGAAGATACAATTAACAGATTAATATTGGCCTGTGTTTCCGTTCCCGTATGTACCAATCCATCCCTACAGTGCCTGGTAATTAGAGTTAAGGGGTGAGAATACCAAATTGATGACCCAAGTTACACAACAAAAAGTTTCACTGAAATATTTCTGGGAAAGACCACATTATGAATTTTGCATAAATGTCGGACTCTAGAAACTCAATATGAGCAGCCCGTCCAATGATTGTGTTAAAGTTCTTGCCATAAGTTGTGGTATCAAAGTTGACATCACAACGCAAGAACACCCGCTGCTCAGAGGAAGGGGCACGTATCTGGTCCAAGCAATTATTCAGCATCTCCAGAAATACTTTGCCCTTTTTTGAGTAGTCCCATGAAGCTGCCTGGCACAGTTCAATTCTGGCCGAATGATATGGAACATAACCATCCTGAATGACACAGAATCATAATTAGCACCAAAGGTAGTGGGACAACATAACATCAACAGCTTAGAAAAGCCATTATATTTCTACGCATTTCCCACAGATCAGCCAATGTTGTGATGAAAATCATTCACAAAAATTCTTCTTCTTAAGATGACAAAAACTTGGTAAAATTTTCAACAATGTCAATCTGTTGGTGATTTTAATTGTTTTAACAAAAACCTAACCTTTTCATTTGGGTGTAAAACAATTTCTCGAAAGAAGAGCAAGAAGAGTTTATTGATAGTATATCAAATCACTTATTCATCCCCAAGCATACATTGAGGTCGTCCTCCATAGCAGACAGCCAATTATTATATTCCCATCTTCAAGTAAATAAAACCATGGGACACATACAACAAAGCCGATTGTTTCATTCCCATGTTCAAGTAACTACAACCATGTAACTGTATTGTAACAGGAGATATACAGACACGTTTCTAATGTTGATACAAATTAACTCGCAAATAGCCAACATTTAGGGCTTCTAGTCTATCGCCCATAGCCCTTGTATAGCACTATGATTGTTAACAAACAAACACTAGAAGGAATAAGGTCATAAGCACAGGGCCGTCTCAAGAACATTTGTGATCCTAGGCAAGAGTTATTTTGGAGCTTTCTAATAATATAAGCATATATTACAAAAATTGTTTCAAATTTATTTTTCTTGCCTTTTGAGATATAAAATCACTAGGAGAGATAGACAACGACTGGCGGGCTAACAGGGTCAGGTTGTTGGGGGGTTTTGAAAAGCAGATGCTGGAGAAGCGATGGGTGATGAAATTGGTGATTTCCAATGCTAGGATTGACCGGAAAAGGCTTGAGAAGTTGCGGCCCAAAAGGTACCAGTGGCCGGCGATTAGCGGAGTAAACAGATGAGATATGATAGGGGTTTTGGTGAGAGGGCTGGGGAGGAAGGTGGTGGTGTCGGGTAAGGCCAACGACGCCAGGTACATGCCAAAAAGGCCGGAAATGGCTGTCGTGCGCAATGAAGCTAGGTTGCGAGATTCATCAAAAATCGGTCAAATTGAGGGCTATCAAGGTTGGAAAAACTTGGAAAATGATAAAGTGATGATTCCAATCGATTTGGATAGGAATATATATAAAAAGTTTATAATAAATTTAGACCTTTTTGGCTTTTTTTTTTTTGGACCCCTTGGGCCGGCCTAAATAAGAAATTATACACTATTTTTATTTTTGTAATATATTCAAAAAAAATTATAAAAAACTTATGCCCCTTTTTGCCCTATTTTTTGGGGGCCCTAGGCAGGTGCCTCACCTGCCTACCCCTTGGGCCGTGACAAGCATATGGTATAAGTGCAGTTAAAATGAATCTCAGAAATGATTCATAGCAATTTTAAAGAGTAAACTTATTCATATGAAGCAAATGGCATGAATGCAACCATGACGAATCTTTGAAATGATTTGTAACAAGTTTAAAAAGTAAATAGCGTACAAACAAAGTTAATACCTGGGGTGAAGACAGCAGAATTATATGCCTGAAATTTTCCAATGTCTTCTGCTGAAAGAATGAAATTAATATTTTAGACTCTCAGTAAAAGAAATAAAACTGGTTCTCTAATTTATATATGCCTGGGTATCCTTATTTCAGAATGCAGCCAAATTTATTCAGCGTGCATATTTTCTGGTATCTGTCTGCCAAAGTTCCAATAACAATGGGGTTAGTTTTTCAAAGACCCCTTTGGTAGTTATTCAACGATCTTTGACACCTTTTACAATTCATTGAATGTTAGCTCCTTTCCCTTACGAAATGAAAATTATACCGCATCAATCACAATCAAGACAAGTTCTCTCAAAACCATCTAAGACTCTTTTCACTCAACCTCCAATTCAGAATTTCACTCATTACATCACTCCAAACAATTTCTAGAAATTGCAAGTCATTATTTCAAATGAGTTTGTGAGTACCACAATTGAGAGAATGAGGGAAATAAGTTAGTGAGCTTTTGGATTGATAACAGAGATATTTATTTGTTTGTTTGTTTACAAAAGAGGTCAAAACCACAATCTCAGTTGGGGTATAAAGTTGTATATGGTGTGGAAAGGGGTTATTCCCAGCAATTTCCACAACAATTTGCTCAAAAGACTTAACTATGGTTTGATTTGTTATCAAGAAAATGTGGAGGAAAAAAAAAAGTACACCCTTCTTATGCAAGCTCTATAGTATTTTAAGTACCTTAGAAAGTTTGTAGAAAAATGTATGTTGTAGATCAGGATTGTCTGTCAAAGTGAGCTGATGAATGCACTGCGTATTCTTCAATTTCTTCAAAAGCCACAGCCCAGAGTTGAATAAGGAGTTCGAACTGTAAAGATACCCCAAATGTGGACCAGATATAGAAACGTATGTATACAGGTACCTTAGGTATGGTTCCATAATACTCTCTGCAGAAAGTAAAGCACATATCTGGCACTAAATTAAAACCTTGAAGAAGAAAGATAAAGTAGCATATAAAGTTATGACCATACCTGCTAATGCTGTTCTAAGAATGATATTTCCGATTGAATGCCCAACAAAGCTAAGCTTGATATCTCTTAGGCCAACAGATCTGGACACTTTATCCATTTTTTTTTTAAGAAAAGCAATCACTTCTTGAGCCAGTCTTAGTCCCATCTGTCTTAAATCTCCAGATGTTCTTTCTTGATTCACCTCTGACATAAGAAACTCTATCTTTGGATCTAACAAAAGCCATTGATTCCGAATAAGCCGCAAATCCAGATGATGTCCCTATTATGTTCAAAAACTGACATGCAATGTTAATCTACTGATATATGCTCCAAGCTAAATGTAGTATATAACATGTATGATCAGAGACATCAAATAAATGTCTGAAACGAAATAAAGAAAACCATGTGCTTTGCAGTAAAGAACCATAAAATAGTTATCTAAAAATTAATGACAATGAACTACTATTTACAGGAAAGAATGTAACTGAATTTTAAATGGTTTACACTGCTTAACCAATATCTATCGAAGGTGGTTAATACTGTCAAGCAGAAATACATCTTGAGGAGAAAATTACCAATGTTTTCAATTGTGTAAGAACAACAAGCAGAAGACCAGCATCTCTGATGTATGCATCAACAAAATGGTATATCATAAGCTACATTTGACTTCAATCAATTAGACCGTCAAACTGCACTGATATGTGAAAGAATAACATAGGAGTTATTTATTCATTTATTTTGCACCTCTTTGATTTCTGTTTCCAAGAAGTTTCACACTCTTTCTTTTTCATCAACTTGAATTGGAAAGGGATCTTAAGCTAATCATTTTTTTTTTTTTTTTTTTTGAGAGGAGTTTGTAATTCTTTAATTTGGGGCAGGTACACTGTTCTGGGGTACAGATTCTTTGGGTAATGACCGGAGTAGATTTTGGCTCCTTCAAGTGGGACTTTATTTTTATTTTTTATGTCCCTGCATACCTCTGATTCACTTTTTTTATCTCCTTTCTCTTTCAAAATAGTCTTTAATGTTCTATGATTAAAAACAGAAAAGGGATACTTTTTATAACAATCACAGGATTTAAAATTATGGGCACAGTTAACAAGAAAATATAAGTTAAGAACGAAAAAAACAAAGCAACAGAGTACACAAATTTAAGAAGAAGCCATGAAAGAGTAAGGACTTGCCTGAAACCCATGCACAAAGACAACAACCTTCAAGTCACGACCATGTTGTGGTGGGCTAACACCAGATAGCTGTTTTCCAGATTTGGAGCTAGGCCCTGCTTGTGATCCACGCTCACCTATTAGGTCCACATTTCTGAAGTATGAATTTTCACTAAAAGTACGTCGTGGAGCATTCATGACGCGTTCCACAATTACAATAGGAATTCGTGAAGGGTTCCCAAATATATGCATATCTTGAATGAACCGGTTGTTGATCTGGATGGAAATCAAACTCTCCTGTAAATCCAATATACATGCAAAATAACAGTCAAAAGCACCCCCTGTGAAAGCAGTTACAAACCTTCATTTGTGCAATACTTCGACGGTGAAGTTCTGCACGCATTGCTGCAAGCTGGGCAGGCTGGGTAGAACAAAAGAAAATTCCAGATTCAGCCACTGATACTTTGATGCATGTCACTAAACAAGCCAAGACACATTGGTAATGAGAAATGAAGAGTAGCAGTATTTACATCATCATTCAACTTCAACAAACTTGAAACTCTTTTATGCACACCATTGTGGGGAGGCTCATCAAGCCCACTATTTAGATAATGATGAGGCATCTCAACCTTAGAGTACACCATCCAAATGGACCATTCAGCTCTCCGATCTTTGGCCCATGCATCGCGTAGATATTTCAGTATCTTTTTATTGGTAGCCCTGGAATGAAGTATAATATCAGCAAATATACAAGCTAAAATAATCTAACAACTACATTCAGTATCCTGACTCATCCATCATTAACTTATCATTAGCAAAGGATAAGAAGATCAATCACATTCACTTGGAAGGGGGTCAAAGCAGGTTATTTAAAGCTTAAAGAATTCAGCATCTTCCTCAGAAGATAAAGAGCATCTTAACTAACATGTTCAATGCACCTTCATATTAGAAGGAATAAGTTTTTCCTATCTATTAAAAAAACCACTTTAGCAGTTATTAGTATATTGACCACATCAATCAGCAATAATGTATTAATGTCAGAGTATCCTCAAGGATGTACTGTGGCACAAACCATACAAATATTGCATAAGACACATTGTTGAACCATCACAACATGAGTGATTTTAACCAATACATCACGATGGACAAGGCGTTTCTACATTCATTTGGGTCTCCAAGTGGTGAGATGTGTTTTGGTATGTTTTCTATACAGTACACAAAATTCAACGAGGGGAATGAATTTTCATGTCAGAGATTCTTCAATCCCAGCTGCAAAAGGCTGTTAGATGCATGTCAACTTTACCTATTTGGAAATCTCTTCTCCATTTAGCTAATATGATCACATTGTGAAAAACATTAATTGTGGTCAGATGTAACATCTGCTGTCAGGATCAACTAATTTTTTCTTCCTGAATGTTGTTCAGTTCATATAAATAAGATTATATCATAAATATATAACACTTGTTGCCCTTTAAAATCTTGATTAAAAAAAGTAACCTACATTTCTACTATTTTGAAAAATTGAACTTTGAAAGGACTCTCAGCATTTCAAAAGATTACTTGTGGCTCTTGAATCATAGTGTTATAAAAACGCAACACTTAGTTACATATAATTATTGTCTGCTGACCACTGTGAATTGAACTTATATAAAATTCACTAAAAGTAATTCATGAAGCATTAATAGACCACCATGCATCAAGAATTTTGACTTTCTTTTTCATTATTCAGACATAGGTGAAATCTAAGAAACAGAGTTCAACTGTTTGATCATGTAAATAAGATACTACACAAATACTATCATTGTTCTTAAACAAGAAAAGAAAAAACTATTGGCTACAAAAATATATCCTGCCTCCTTACTGTTCAAATTGAAATGTATATTACTCAGCAAATGGCATAACAAAGAAAAGCCTGGCAAGCCAAGGTTGTCTTATATTCCTTTCATGACCAATAAAGAATTATAATTACAGAAAACTGATAAGTCACATCAGAAAGGTATTCAGTTAATTGCTGACGACAAATATCAATAGGTAGCTATTATCATCAAAAGAAACAAGTCGATTGACAAGAAGAATATAGAACACCAGGGTACTGTACTGAAATTAGGATCAACAATGTCCAAATACAATCATATGATGGTGCAGAAAAAAGGCAAACCTGTGGAAATTCAGAAACATATTCCATAAGCAGGACACTTGATTGCCCAAAAAATCAAAAATTTTCAATAGGTTTTCCTCTGATAAGGTGCAGAGCAATAGATCCCTTTGAAAATCCAGAGAACCATTTGCATGCTGTTCAAAAATTACAGTAATGTTAATAAAAAATCAACCACAAAGCATAAAAATTGCAAAATAGAATCAAGATATACAGCACAAGTAGAGCGATGACCTCAAAACGATTTTGTGGCTTGCCTTGTTCTGAAATATTCACTTGCAAGATGGGATGAGACAACTTTATAGCATCTATTCCAGATATAAACTCAGTCATGTCTATAGCTTGATTAATTGCTCCACTAAGTTTTTGTAGATCTTCAAGCAATGTATTGCGGGAATCTAATAGTGCTTTAACAAGCATGACAGGTTTTGTATCTGCAGAAGCCACTTGACCCAAAGCCTACATCAATAAATGAGATGATAATTTGTCAAGGAAATGGTAGAAAAATAGCTAAACGCTACAAGCATCTCAATACGTTTGAATCACCAGGTTCAAATTTAAGAATGTAGCAGCAAATAGAGAACCACACCTCTGAAAATATTCAAAATTCATATTTGTCAATAGAAGATAGTGTTTAAAACAGATCAATTAGCAAGAGTTCCATAATAATTATAACAACTTGAGGTGATAAAACAAAAACTATATTGCTGCCTTGAATAGGATCCGTGCCACAGCGAACTTTTTCTTTAAGCAAAAACTATGAATACCACTAAACATAGAATAGAAACAAAAGCCTGGGCAAAGTGCAATTCATAAGCATGCACATAAACACACATACAGAGACCCAGGAGCCATGCATGAAGCGGCATCTACATACAGATTAATGCAATAACATAGTGTCATCAAGGAACAAATGTACAGAAACCCTGATTAGAGGCAAAGAACATAACCCACATATAGCTGTATAATGGAAAGAGCAAGAATAGAGAAAATTAACTCAACAAAAGTCAAATAGAGGTTATTGCAAACAAAGATTCAATTCAAAAAAACACACTTGATCGGATGCGTTAACGATCCCGCCAGCAGCATCTTCAGCCTTGCAAGGATCACTGAGATAATTTAGTTGACCAATATGGCACAAGAATTAGTTTGCAAACAAGCTACAAATAAATAAATTTAAAGAAAATTTAAAAAGTTCACAACGTAGGGGGTGTGACCATGACGAGGATACCTATTTAAAGAAACTAGAATCTGTAACAAACCTGGATACCTTCAATGCAGGGGTGTGAGAACCAGCTTTCTGTAGACTCACATGAATGCTTACATCAACAAGCACTGCATGAAACGCATCAAAGTGGACAGGGCAATATGAGTGCAATCCCAAAAGAGCTTTAGGAGGTATCCGAAATTCATGGACTGCAGCAGGACAAGCATCCAGAGAAGCCTGCAACTCGGACCTGCACATAGCATTACACTCACTGTTTGTTATACAATTTCAATTTGAAAATATCAAATATCAAAGGGTGTAAAAGAACACTAAATTTCTGTTTACCCTAACTAAATGGGCAAAATTACCGACATAAAGATACTGTCAACTCACCCAATTTCCGATATTGCAGCATACATAAGCTCAAACTTCAAAATAACAGCAGATGTAGATGGACCCTGTCAATAAAATGCCATATCAATACCAGGATCTGACATCAATAGCAATGCTTTCCTCTCCCATTTCTGGCAGATTTCCCAATATTTTTAAACGAAAAAAAAAATGGATTTGTATCTCAGAGAGAAAGAGCAAGAGGGAGATATACCTCATATTTGCTAGGAGATAGACTGAATGAAATCAGGATAGATAGAAGAATATCCTGCCTTGCATATTTGATCCAGAAAGGCTGTGTTGAAAAAGTGTTGTCTCTATCATTAATCCTCCAAACTCCAAATATGTCATCATAACCTAGATTGGGAGCTGCAGCTCAACAAATGTCACCATTTTAAGATTTTAGCTCTTAATTGAACTTTAAAACTATCAACAGCCAGAAGCACAAAGAAAGATAAAAAACTTGATCATTTGAATGAAGGAAAAAATAGTTAAATGACTGAATAACATAGAGAAGTAGAGTACTTGTGAGTTCCTTTTTATTATTTTTGTTTTCTGGTGCTCTTCTGTACACCTTCGGTGTAATAGCAATATGCCCTATTCTGGCATTCTAAATGTATATTCATTTTGTCACCTAAAGATAGCTTCACTCACCCAGGATAAGATTCATCAAATTTTAGAGCAGAATAAATACTAAGTAATCAGCTAACAAGAACGACAAAAAATCCATGAGCCACATTCCAACTTTACATAAACAACAAGCTTATGTTTGAGTCAATTTTAGGAACTGTAATAATTCCAAATACATGCCTTGATGTCTCCTAATATAGTGATTCTAAATCAGGTACACCAAAAATAAAATATCACAATTTCCACCTCTTATTGAAAACCCTATTATACAAGAAGATTGAGGTACACTAATTATGTCATGTAAGATACACTTTGATTTTATGTAAAACTGAGATTCTAAACTTAGCAAGACTAAAAATATAATGTCAGAACTTTTACTTCTTATACTAAAACTATTATAAAAGTAAGTAGAGGTGAGTAAAACCAATATGACTTTAGTGAAATTACCTTCATATTGAACAACTCTTGCCGGTGTGCCCAAAGAAGTATTGTCATCGTTCTCCCATTTCATGCTAATCTTAATTTGATACCATCTAATTAAATCACAATGACAAATCACAGATTTATTAAAAAGAAAAGAAAAACAATCAAGATTATTGATAAGATATAATTTGCATACCCTTGCTGGAAAAGGTCAAGGTTGTGAAACCTATGAAGATAAATGGCAACCTCTTGAACAGTTGTGAACGTGTCCTCAGGCTCAACCTTCATGGAAGCCGGCTTCTTAAGCAACTTCTTTTGAACCATCGTATTCTAAAGCCTCCAAAACTTGCATCCTCCTTTTTCAATATATTATAATGAATATTAATCCCCTTGTATGAACTCCACAAATCCTTTATAGAACACTCAAAAATGGATTCTCAATCACATAAAAAAGCTACAGAAAAGTTCTCCCCTGCCTCCTTCTTGTTGCCCTTAGCACCACACTCTATAAGAATTCTCACTATCAATTACTGTTGGTGTAAATGAGCTAATCTTCAGAAAAGAAAGTAGCTGCAGCTGCAGATAAGAAAATATGATATCCGAGATCAATTCCACGCAACAATAACTTTAAAAAAATATTTTGAAGAAACCCAACAACTTTAAATAGCTGCAACCTAACAAGAAGAACAAGTATAATTTTAACTCCAAGTATTACAGAAAACCTATGATCATATTTACTTATTCTAGCGACACTTGACATTTAAATAAAAATAAGTTAAAAAATTAAAACGAAAATAACCTAAATTATGAAAAGTACTAAATTATTAACCTACGGAGCCACATTTGGGTCCCTGAAATTAGAAGAACCACAAAACGTACATTTAATAGAACAAAAATGGGATAGAATCATGAGTGTTAATTACATAAAAAATTGGGGTTCAATTGAAGAACAATTTCAATAAAGGAGGATCATACAATGCAATTAATAGAGAATGTAAAAGGTTAAGGAAAAGAACAGGACAAACCGCGTATCAGATCTGCAAAATTGAAACGGAAACAGAAACAGTGTTAGGGTTTCTTTTGTTAGAATGAATACTGATGTCGTGATTTGCGCGACTTTGATTTAAGTTTGTTTCCTTCAAAATTAAAAGTAGTCATCAATTTTATGCTGATGGCCCTTTTTTGTGTTTCCATTAATACGATGACGTGGAGTTTCGCGTTGTTTTGCGCCAAAAATACATGTCCAAAAAGCATTGCAACGGCCTAATGTTCCCGCCCGTTTGGTCCCATTGAAAGAAGATCATGGGTGTTGGCCCAGTATTTAGGCTTCTCGACTCTTTTGATTATGTTGGCTTCCTTAGAAAAACATGTAGTGTATTTAAAAGAAGTTTCATGGGCTTGATTTGCTTGGGCACTATATCTATGTTCTTCCACTATTTAAAACTTTCGGATTATTTCTTTGTTTTTGCTCTTACTACTTCCATAATAAATTTTTCTTGCTTTTCAGTTGACGTGATTCTATTGTTTTATGCGATCCATATGAAACTTGTGTTATTGATAAATCACTTCAATGTTGCATCATGATCTTTTTTCTTAATCACGAAATTCAATCAAGCCTAAGTAGTTAGGCCGTTGGACAAAAAGAGATTACCAAGCCTAATCGTCAATAGCATGCTTTCCTCTCCCATTTCTGGCAGATTTCCCAATATTTTTAAACGAAAAAAAAATGGATTTGTATCTCGAGAGAAAGAGCAAGAGGGAGATATACCTCATATTTGCTAACTTCCTGAATGTTGTTCAGTTGATATAAATAAGCTTATATCATAAATATATAACACTTGTTGCCCTTTAAAATCTTGATTAAAAAAAGTAACCTACATTTCTACTGTTTTGAAAAATTGAACTTTGAAAGGACTCTCAGCATTTCAAAAGATTACTTGTGGCTCTTGAATCATTGTGTTATAAAAACGCAACACTTAGAAACATATAATTATTGTCTGCTGACCACTGTGAATTGAACATATATAAAATTCACTAAAAAGTAATTCATGAAGCATTAATAGACCACCATGCATGAAGAATTTTGACTTTCTTTTTCATTATTCAGACATAGGTGAAATCTAAGAAACAGAGTTCAACTGTTTGATCATGTAAATAACATACTACACAAATGCTATCATTGTTCTTAAACAAGAAAAGAAAAAACTATTGGCTACAAAAATATATCCTACCTCCTTACTGTTCAAATTGAAATGTATATCGCTCAGCAAATGACATAACAAAGAAAAGCCTGGCAAGCCAAGGTTGTCTTATATTCCTTTCATGACCAATAAAGAATTATAATTACAGAAAACTGATAAGTCACATCAGAAAGGTATTTAGTTAATTGTTGACAACAAATATCAATAAGTAGCTATTATCATCAAAAGAAACAAGTCGATTGACAAGAAGAATATAGAACACCAGGGTACTGTACTGAAATTAGGATCAACAATGTCCAAATACAATCATATGATGGTGCAGAAAAAAGGCAAACCTGTGGAAATTCAGAAACATATTCCATAAGCAGGACACTTGATTGCCCAAAAAATCAAAAATTTTCAATAGGTTTTCCTCTGATAAGGTGCAGAGCAATAGATCCCTTTGAAAATCCAGAGAACCATTTGCATGCTGTTCAAAAATTACAGTAATGTTAATAAAAAATCAACCACAAAGCATAAAAATTGCAAAATAGAATCAAGATATACAGCACAAGTAGAGCGATGACCTCAAAACGATTTTGTGGCTTGCCTTGTTCTGAAATATTCACTTGCAAGATGGGATGAGACAACTTTATAGCATCTATTCCAGATATAAACTCAGTCATGTCTATAGCTTGATTAATTGCTCCACTAAGTTTTTGTAGATCTTCAAGCAATGTATTGCGGGAATCTAATAGTGCTTTAACAAGCATGACGAGTTTTGTATCTGCAGAAGCCACTTGAACCAAGGCCTACTCAAGTCAAAAGCAAGCCATCAATAAATGAGATGATAATTTGTCAAGGAAATGGTAGAAAAATAGCTAAACGCTACAAGCATCTCAATACGTTTGAATCACCAGGTTCAAATTTAAGAATGTAGCAGCAAATAGAGAACCACAACTTTGAAAATATTCAAAATTCATATTTGTCAATAGAAGATAGTGTTTAAAACAGATCAATTAGCAATAGTTCCATAATAATTATAACAACTTGAGGTGATAAAACAAAAACTATATTGCTGCCTTGAATAGGATCCGTGCCACAGCGAACTTTTTCTTTAAGCAAAAACTATGAATACCACTAAACATAGAATAGAAACAAAAGCCTGGGCAAAGTGCAATTCATAAGCATGCACATAAACACACATACAGAGACCCAGGAGCCATGCATGAAGCGGCATCTACATACAGATTAATGCAATAACATAGTGTCATCAAGGAACAAATGTACAGAAACCCTGATTAGATGCAAAGAACATAACCCACATATATCTGTATAATGGAAAGTGCAAGAATAGAGAAAATTAACTCAACAAAAGTCAAATAGAGGTTATTGCAAACAAAGATTCAATTCAAAAAAACACACTTGATCAGATGTGTTAACGATCCCGCCAGCAGCATCTTCAGCCTTGCAAGAATCACTGAGATAATTTAGTTGACCAATAAGGCACAAGAATTAGTTTGCAAACAAGCTACAAATAAATAAATTTAAAGAAAATTTAAAAAGTTCACAACATAGGGGGTGCAACCATGACGAGGATGCCTATTTAAAGAAACTAGAATCTGTAACAAACCTGGATACCTTCAATGCAGAGGTGTGAGAACCAGCTTTCTGTAGACTCACATGAATGCTTACATCAACAAGCACTGCATGAAACGCATCAAAGTGGACAGGGCAATATGAGTGCAATCCCAAAAGAGCTTTAGGAGGTATCCGAAATTCATGGACTGCAGCAGGACAAGCATCCAGAGAAGCCTGCAACTCGGACCTGCACATAGCATTACACTCACTGTTTGTTATACAATTTCAATTTGAAAATATCAAATATCAAAGGGTGTAAAAGAACACTAAATTTCTGTTTACCCTAACTAAATGGGCAAAATTACCGACATAAAGATACTGTCAACTCACCCAATTTCCGATATTGCAGCATACATAAGCTCAAACTTCAAAATAACAGCAGATGTAGATGGACCCTGTCAATAAAATGCCATATCAATACCAGGATCTGACATCAATAGCAATGCTTTCCTCTCCCATTTCTGGCAGATTTCCCAATATTTTTAAACGAAAAAAAAAATGGATTTGTATCTCAGAGAGAAAGAGCAAGAGGGAGATATACCTCATATTTGCTAGGAGATAGACTGAATGAAATCAGGATAGATAGAAGAATATCCTGCCTTGCATATTTGATCCAGAAAGGCTGTGTTGAAAAAGTGTTGTCTCTATCATTAATCCTCCAAACTCCAAATATGTCATCATAACCTAGATTGGGAGCTGCAGCTCAACAAATGTCACCATTTTAAGATTTTAGCTCTTAATTGAACTTTAAAACTATCAACAGCCAGAAGCACAAAGAAAGATAAAAAACTTGATCATTTGAATGAAGGAAAAAATAGTTAAATGACTGAATAACATAGAGAAGTAGAGTACTTGTGAGTCCCTTTTCATTATTTTTGTTTTCTGGTGCTCTTCTGTACACCTTCGGTGTAATAGCAATATGCCCTATTCTGGCATTCTAAATGTATATTCATTTTGTCACCTAAAGGTAGCTCCAGTCACCCAGGATAAAATTCATCAAATTTTAGAGCAGAATAAATACTAAGTAATCAGCTAACAAGAACGACAAAAAATCCATGAGCCACATTCCAACTTTACATAAACAACAAGCTTATGTTTGAGTCAATTTTAGGAACTGCAATAATTCCAAATACATGCCTTGATGTCTCCTAATATAGTGATTCTAAATCAGGTACACCAAAAATAAAATATCACAATTTCCACCTCTTATTGAAAACCCTATTATACAAGAAGATTGAGGTACACTAATTATGTCATGTAAGATACACTTTGATTTTATGTAAAACTGAGATTCTAAACTTAGCAAGACTAAAAATATAATGTCAGAACTTTTACTTCTTATACTAAAACTATTATAAAAGTAAGCAGAGGTGAGTAAAACCAATATGACTTTGGTGAAATTACCTTCATATTGAACAACTCTTGCCGGTGTGCCCAAAGAAGTATTGTCATCGTTCTCCCATTTCATGCTAATCTTAATTTGATACCATCTAATTAAATCACAATGACAAATCACAGATTTATTAAAAAGAAAAGAAAAACAATCAAGATTATTGATAAGATATAATTTGCATACCCTTGCTGGAAAAGGTCAAGGTTGTGAAACCTATGAAGATAAATGGCAACCTCTTGAACAGTTGTGAACGTGTCCTCAGGCTCAACCTTCATGGAAGCCGGCTTCTTAAGCAACTTCTTTTGAACCATCGTATTCTAAAGCCTCCAAAACTTGCATCCTCCTTTTTCAATATATTATAATGAATATTAATCCCCTTGTATGAACTCCACAAATCCTTTATAGAACACTCAAAAATGGATTCTCAATCACATAAAAAAGCTACAGAAAAGTTCTCCCCTGCCTCCTTCTTGTTGCCCTTAGCACCACACTCTATAAGAATTCTCACTATCAATTACTGTTGGTGTAAATGAGCTAATCTTCAGAAAAGAAAGTAGCTGCAGCTGCAGATAAGAAAATATGATATCCGAGATCAATTCCACGCAACAATAACTTTAAAAAAATATTTTGAAGAAACCCAACAACTTTAAATAGCTGCAACCTAACAAGAAGAACAAGTATAATTTTAACTCCAAGTATTACAGAAAACCTATGATCATATTTACTTATTCTAGCGACACTTGACATTTAAATAAAAATAAGTTAAAAAATTAAAACGAAAATAACCTAAATTATGAAAAGTACTAAATTATTAACCTACGGAGCCACATTTGGGTCCCTGAAATTAGAAGAACCACAAAACGTACATTTAATAGAACAAAAATGGGATAGAATCATGAGTGTTAATTACATAAAAAATTGGGGTTCAATTGAAGAACAATTTCAATAAAGGAGGATCATACAATGCAATTAATAGAGAATGTAAAAGGTTAAGGAAAAGAACAGGACAAACCGCGTATCAGATCTGCAAAATTGAAACGGAAACAGAAACAGTGTTAGGGTTTCTTTTGTTAGAATGAATACTGATGTCGTGATTTGCGCGACTTTGATTTAAGTTTGTTTCCTTCAAAATTAAAAGTAGTCATCAATTTTATGCTGATGGCCCTTTTTTGTGTTTCCATTAATACGATGACGTGGAGTTTCGCGTTGTTTTGCGCCAAAAATACATGTCCAAAAAGCATTGCAACGGCCTAATGTTCCCGCCCGTTTGGTCCCATTGAAAGAAGATCATGGGTGTTGGCCCAGTATTTAGGCTTCTCGACTCTTTTGATTATGTTGGCTTCCTTAGAAAAACATGTAGTGTATTTAAAAGAAGTTTCATGGGCTTGATTTGCTTGGGCACTATATCTATGTTCTTCCACTATTTAAAACTTTCGGATTATTTCTTTGTTTTTGCTCTTACTACTTCCATAATAAATTTTTCTTGCTTTTCAGTTGACGTGATTCTATTGTTTTATGCGATCCATATGAAACTTGTGTTATTGATAAATCACTTCAATGTTGCATCATGATCTTTTTTCTTAATCACGAAATTCAATCAAGCCTAAGTAGTTAGGCCGTTGGACAAAAAGAGATTACCAAGCCTAATCACCACTTAGTAACCTAATGGTAAAAGAGTAAAAAGATGTTCTATGAGTTTCTAAGTTCAAATACTCACAGACACAAATAGAGGTAGCCGCTGAGGGGCTCACCCGATCTTCAACTTCAAGATTTCGAGATATTAGTTAAAGTGCATACAAACTCATTCGAGCACCACTGGTCAGCCAAAAAAAAGAAAAGAGAGATTATTTCCATGGGCCAAACCGAAGCACTAAAAAAGAGAAGAAAAGTAAAGCAAGTGGCTCTATTGCTATGAAGATGATTGAGGATTTTTGTGGTGGAAAAATGATGAAAGTATATTTCACAAATGGTTGGTCATTCATAAAGTGCCTCATCTCTAAGCTAGTGAACCCTTGCAAATGAAAATGTATCGTTCAATCAGGATCATGTGATTGACACGCATGACAGGAAATGTTAGGCCATTTTTTCACTTGCATTATTGCTTGTAATCACATCCAATCCTATTGAGTAGACAACTCCAAATATTGGTGAACGGTGTGGTATTTATCCTAAACAAAATATCATCCCAAATAATAACTTAAACTTAATCAGTTGTTTTAATGCATTTTCGTTGAATCAAAGCCGTATAAGGAAGACCATTGGGGTTCTTCGTTTAGTCATAGTCATTCATCAAAATGGAGATTCTGACAAACAAGGTTTGAACGCATATCCAAATTAAACGCTATGGAAATCTTTGCTTGATGGGGCACTTGAGGATTGACATAAAGTAGATGGGAGATGAAATCAATAATAGAGACATGAAATGAGACAAGTAGAGCAAAACGTGGTCCCTCATTAAAAAAATCGTACAGTCACAAGATCGGAAGAAATTAATTATGATAAGCAAATGACTCATACGTATCATGAATTAATCGTTTGTTAAAGAAGAGAACAAAACGCGTCTGGGTTGGAGCCTGGGGGCGGCTCGAGGTAAACTCGTGACCTCAAATTCAAAATGTTATTTTGCAATCCAAGTTGTGGCACGTAATAGCGGTGACGGGGACCCCCTTTTTTTTGTCTGCTTGTTGACTCTCTTTATTGAGCCATGCATATTTTAATAAAACGTATGATATTTGATTTCGTTTTTTCATGAAAATACGATTTGTGACGGGGACTCTTCGACCGACTTGAACATGGTTTCTGCTCCCGCTAATTATTGTGTTTTGTCATCTGCTTACCCACCATTCATAATTCTACGTCTTCCTTGTATTGGTTCAACAAAATCTTTCGCGGTTTATGTGTACCGTTGTTAAGACTGGAGATAGATTCAGTTTTTTCCAATTAAAGGGTTGTCGATAATGACAGTATATATGGTACTAATGTGTCTGCTAGTAAATGTTGTATATAAATCGACCTGTCATGATTTTTTTTTTTGGGTTCCGTGACAAGACACTTTTAACACGATGTCACACCGAGAAAAAGAAAGATATCACTGCGTTTGATCAAGAGGATATTAAATTATTGAAAAATTATATTACTAGAAGATTATTAGAAATTAAAAAAAAAATTATTTGATTAACCGGTAGACTTATTATATTAATATATTAATATGTTTGATTATAAAAACTAAATTTATAGGTATATTATTTAAATTATTGAATTGTCTTTTAATTAAATATTATTATTATTTAATATTGTTATTTAGATTATTATAACCCTTTACATTTAAAAATTTAGTAAAAATAACCCTATGATAAAAGTTTGGAAAATCAATAATACACCCACACCAACCTAGCCACTGCCTACCGCTTGCAACTTAACGATGCACGGAAGGCAAGAAACGGCCTCCGTGAGTTGTATGGCCATTTCCGGCCAAATATATGGTCTGGAAATAGACATATCGGCACACAGTGGCCCTTTCCAGCCTTCTGTGCACCGTTCTGATAGTGACAACGGTTGGCCGCTAGCGGTGGTTGCCGGTGGTGGCAAGTGGGTGGGGGTGGTGGCTTGTGTGGGCTACAATTTGTTTTGAATTCAAATGTAATTTTGTCAAAAAAGTTAATTAATTGGGGTGAATTAGTAAAAGCTATTTTCATGTAAATTAATTTAAAAATAAGGGTATTATTGTCCTAAAATTTTATTAATAAGGGATAGAATTGTAACCAAAAAAAATTACCTTAACAATCTTACAATACCTAAGAAAATTGAGGTAATCAGATTACCTCCAATATTACCAACAGTAACTACTATTAGTATTTAAAGATTACCGGAATCGTATATTACTTGACAACCAAACATGGTAATCAAGTAATATAAGATGACATAACTTTAGTAATCTCACATAACCCCTAACCAAACGCCCCCTTAAAGAAAAAAAGTTAAAGTTGTGTGTGAAAGATGTGGAATTGGCGAGGCCAAGAGTAGTGATCGAGAGAGAAAGATTGTCATGGCCAATCACCACTAGGTGGTCCAGCAGTCAACTAAGACTATTGAGTGAATTACTCAAGAGGTCTTGAGTTCGATCCACCTTGGATTGCTAATAGGGATGGTCATTGAAGGGATTTATCCGATTGTCAACTTCAAGACCCAAGAGAATTAGTTGAGGTGTGCGTAAATTGGCTCAAACACCTCGATCACAAAAAAAAAAAAAAAAAAAAAGACAGCATATGGCCAAGCTCTTGATGAATAGTGTGATCATATAATATACTTACTTCAAATGGTTTGGCGAATCCAAGACCAGCTCTTGATCTTGCTATCCCTACGACTACTGATGCACTGCTCCTTACAGTGACTCTCAAAATACTCCTCACTGCATCATTCCTAGACAAATTTTCAGAGATGATTTGATTAAATTGTTACCCGACTCTTGGGTGACGAGTTACGAGTCTCTTAAAAAAAGAAACTCTGGGGGTTTCTACAGAATCTACCATGCATGATAACAGTGACGAAACAACAACTATCAGATTTAAGTCTCCAGCAACTCCTAGTGCCCCACCTTTGAGTTTTCGACAAACTCAATTCATGATTACTCCGGTCATACCACTACAGCAGTACGGGAACCTGGATTTTTCATTCATTCATTTCAACAATCTGGTGCTCTTGTCTATCATCAATATGACCAATCACTGGTCACACTCCATTTGATCTTGACTGTTAATGCCTCGAAATGTCGTGATGATCCTATTTGGGAAATTGATGAGCATATCTTCCAAGACAAACTATTGAACCCAAAAAAAAAAAAAAAAAAAAAAAAAAAAAAAAAGCTTGCTACGTCACACAGATCTTCATTCCCGATTTGAAGACCATGATCCTGAGTTGGTCTTCTTGGTCAACCGTCTAGTAAATTTGACTATTATGTCAAATATTCTCCCCAGCCAGGCAAATTCACCATCCATTAATCCCTCATGGGACATCCCTCAAAACCCAACCCAAATCGTCTTTAAAAAACTACCAAACCTGCCAAATCCCCTTACTTCAAACACCTTTACCATGTTTCACAGTCTCTGCGGTGGATTGCAAAAGAACATAAACCAACCCATTCACCCCTTGCTCATACCCCACTGTTCAGTCCGTTATGATGATCCAATCCCCTGAGCCCTCAAAGACAGGACAACATTTCATTTAGACACAGATTTTTCTTCTCTTTAGGAACTGCCACTCAACAACAAGAGTTGTTCCTCCCAAAGCTATACAGCCTGATGGATCCACACGCAAACTCTCCAAGCTGAAGCAGTTCTCAATTGGCAGACTGAAAATGCTTTAGCCCAAAACAAAACCATTACCAGACTTGAACAAAAACTAGATTTAGTAGCTCATCAGGTGGACTCTCGTCTCAGAACCAAACTATGCTGATTTCTCGGCTACAAAAACAATTGACATCTCCAAAACGGATTGATCACTCCATCAGGAATTAATTCACATTTTCAGCACCTCTCATGGCTATTCAGCTCAGTTTCTCCAGAAGGAACAGAAATGAAGTCATTAAAAACCCAATGGCACGCCTTCAGCAGGAATATCTTAAGCAAAAACTCAGACAACCACAGACTTTCCCTGAAATGTCATTGGTACCAAACCCTTTTGACTCCACAACAACATGGCCACAACCCCTTTTTCCCCTTTCCAAAAATTAGTCAACCTTTGGTCTCACCTCATATACCTCTGGTGCTGTTCAAGCTTTTGGCAACATTGACAGTTATATGCCAAGCTTCGCAAAGAACGTGATGAAAAGATCAAGCTGGAACAAGACACAAGAAGCGAGAAAAGATTTCTACTAGACTGCAGCCCCCATCTGCTATATTCCTGACTCTTTCTCTCCAGTCACTCAGATCCTTCATCTCCTAAGCCTCATCGTCCTTTATCTAAAGATAAGCACCAATGCACATAATGATGATGGAAGACCGCCAACCTTCGCTAATCCTGACTCTTCAGAAAATCCCGCCTCTTCCAATTTTATGAGCTCTTTTTTTGAGACATGGCAGAAAGGCAACGTCTTACCGCTTCGGGTCTTCTCAGGATTCTCTATCTACCTTCCAAACAAAATCA